GTACCATCAGTCTCTGAATCCGATTTCATCGATTAATGACTCTTTCTTTGTTACTGGATTAATAGAAATCACTAAAAGCGAATTAGATTATAGAAAAAAAACCATGTAAGAAGAAGAAAGAACATCATTGAGAAACAGTAAGTATTGTTACTGCTCCCATTCTTGGGAACATATGTAGGAGCCAAAATATTCTCTGTCGTCGCGTAGCATTTCATATCCAAGCAATAGGTCATCTGTGACACATAGTATGTTCCATTGTCAACTTGTATATATAAATCACCCTTGGTCACTGCATTTTCAAGTCTTGTGATTATTTCATTGAATTCAATATTAGTTATATTAATAGGTGGCACCAATGTATCATTGACGATGCCGGGTAAGTCAGCAACAAGTAGTTCGATAGCCATTTGTTTGTATCCAGTACGACTACTCTCTATCGATAAAGGTATTCCGTACGCGTACCATCCCCATCGTGATGATGGTGCCAATACAATCCTAGCAATTTGATGGGCAATACGGACTGCAATTTGATCTGATTGATCTTTGTTCAAATTATCCCAAGATCTTTGAATAACATCAATTGTAAGTTTAAATTCCTTAAAGATATGTCCAAAATCGTTCGCTTCCGTATCCATACTGCATTCTTGGAATGTATCGATTACATTTTGCAAAGAACTATAGGCTATTGGTGTCGACGCAATAAAAGCTGATTTAAGTGTCCAAAATATTCGTAACCAATCTCGTCTGGTCATATGACAGATTGATGCATCTTCTGGATAAGGTCTAAGATAGCAAGATTTGTATGAAGTGAATGCTTTATTGCGAATCTTTTGACAATTATCATTACTAAATGGTCGAACAAATGGAACAAGTGCCATTTGTAAACATTTACGTGCATCATCAATCCAACGTTGTGCTCGGACAGAAAATAGGTTTTTATGCTTGGTGTAGAGTTCACAAAATGTTGTGGCATAGGTGAAAACATGTTCAGTCGAAGTACCTTGACATGAATATTTTCGTTCGAGACAATTCTTGTACCAATCACAACTTGATCCATCGGGACTAAGACATTCGGTCGGTAATGTAGGTGCTGGTAATACTGATGAATCATTACAAGCACATGGATCAATTACAAGGTCTCCTTCCAAATAATAGACTTCACGCATGCATGGATAGTTACAATATTTAGCTGTTGCATCACCGCATCCATGTCTTCCTTGTGATTGCTGTTGGATATAGGTATTCGTCAGGCAAGTGTTCCATTGTTTTTTATTGAATTTGTCGGACAAAGAACACTCAATGCTTTCTACTGGACCAGTTTGACTGTCACATATCCCATTGACATGGTTTACAACACATAAAAGAATAAAAACTATCAATTTAACAAATATCATAATTGTGTGCACCTTCAGAGTTTCTCTTGATGTTTTGTGATGCGCAATTCTAGATAAGACTCATTCTCATTATTTGCATTGTCATATTAGGACAAGATAAGAGTAGCTTCTCTCTGTACTCTTTTAAATGCAAGATTCGTTTAGTGCAAAAATGGACTCTAACATCTAATGAATTTAAATTATAACAATATTTTATTAGTTTTTGTTTTTGGATTGATATACGAATCGATCATTTGTATTACTAAATTGTTTGTTTGCAAAAGAAAGCTTTTACTATACAATCCAAGCCTTCATTCAACTACATTTCTTGTCATGTTTTGATAGTTTCCATTTTATTCATTGGTATATAAATAAAAAGCAATAGATTTAGACATTTTTTCTGCTTATCGAGTGGGCATGGGTGTGGGTTTTGATAACAAGAACACTCAACCACATCTCACTCACATCCACACCACATCTACATACCCACACCCACACCCACATCCACATCCATAACCACATCCAAATCCTAACGAACATCCATCCACCACACTCACACCCAAAGATTTCATTCTCGTTTGAAGATACATTGACCGTAGGACGTTGAACCAAAAGTTGGAGATGTTTTTGAAGGCTCTGACTCGGTTTCGTCCGGAAAGCATATTTTTGAGCATAGTAGTGTCTTCATTTCAAGAATGAAGCCTAAATTTTAGTCATTATATGTAGTGGTGTAGCCATTGTAAAACTTATCATTCTGGCTTCTTCTCACCAAGTAAAAAGAAATGTTTTAACCTTACTATAGATTTTCAAACGCCACCATGGCGAAAATATTTTTCTAGATCCGCCAACACTTGAAGTTTCAAAAATGAAAGGAATGATTCTAATTAGAAAAAAGGTAGTACAAGTTATACTTGTATTTGCGCAGCCCTCTCTCAAAGACAAATTGTCGTTTTTTCCAATTAATTTCGCGGGACTGTTTCGTTAAATATTCATTACGTTGTTTTTCAAAGAAAAAGAGAATGCTATATCAACTAGACAAGTTACAATTCAAAGACGTATTGCAAGTTTCAAGTCAAGGAAACCACCGAAGATCAGCCTATTCAAACTTCGAATTTTAAAGAGCATAGCATTGTAGTTTGTAATTGAGATCTAATTTTTTTTCAAAAGAGTCTCTTTCGAAATTGTAGTTCCTACTCTTTATACGCATGTGATGTAATGAAAACGCAGCTATTATTGTTGAAATATTTATTTTAATGGCCAAACTATCAAGAATAGAATGGTAATTTTTGCAGAAAATCAGGTGTGCTTGTGGGTGTAAGTGTGGGCGTAGCCTGTGGGCGTAGCCTGTGGATGTAGGTATGAAAGATAATAAGGAGAACACTCCATACCTACACCCACACCCACACTATCCAACAGATTATTCCTCCCTAGAATCTTCAACGAAATGTTTTGGTCATTAACCATAGCAGAAAACTTCATGTTTGACCCTAGAGAAAACGTTCCACAAGCCTCTTACTTGTGGAAGCATAGACAATCATCGAACCAACCCTTTTCATATCATACCATCGCATATCTCGAACATTGTCTACAAATAATAAGTCTCTTCCATTTTTACTGATCTCTCTTTTCCATTAAACACTAGGGCTCCGCCGCTCCCCCATACTATAGCCAACACAAATATGTTATAACTCTTTCTTCCTCGAATCGCAAAAATAACCTATAGCGAAGTTCTTCTTGTTTTATTTGGACGATACACGAGCCCGCATCCTGATCTTTTAATAAAGCGAAATAAGTACCGAAGCCGGCAAAAAAAATTTATTTTTTTCTGTTATCATAGCAGCCACATAGAAAACTGCACCTACCTCATTCACTCACTTCCAAGCAACGCTTGCGTGATCCTCCGCTGATCAGAGATCACATGGCAAACGAATGTCTCTCATGATTCATCTTTTCAACTCATTTGCTCCCTTCAAACCGGAGCCTGCCAGTAGCTCAACTAATAAAATATCATATAACAAATGAAAGTCTTTGATCATTGTTCTGTTCCACAAACTTGCTCATTTTTAATCAAAGCTTGCGAGTCGCTCAGCTGATCGAAGATCATACGGTCAATGAATATTCCTCATCATTGTCCTATTCACCTTTTTCTTCCATTTCAAAGCAAAGCTTGCGAGTTGCTCAGCCAAATGCAAACCACATCGCATATTAAACTTTTTCACCATTGCTCTGTTCACATAATTTGCTCACTTCGAAGCGAAACTTGCAACTTGGTCAGTTGATCGAAGATTATACAGCATATGAATATTTTTGAGCATTATCCTGTTCAACTGATGTTCTCCCTTCGAGGCAATACTTGTCAAATCGACATTTGATCACATATCACATAGGAAAGGAATTTTCAAATAAGAGTCCTATTCAACTAATTTGCTCTCATCAAAGCAAATCATGCCGGTTGCTCAGCTGATCCAACATAGAATTGCAAATGAATCTTTCTCATAAGAGTCATGTTCATCAAATTCGCTAACTTCGAAACGTAGTTTGCGAGTTGCACAGTTGATAGAAGAGTACATGGCAAATCCATGTTTTTCATCATTGTTGTGTTAATTTTATTAGTGCACTTCCAAGCAAAGCTTGCAAATTGTTCAGCTGTTCGAAGATCTCATGCCAAATGAATGTTTCTCATAATTGTTTAGTCCACCTAATTCGCTAACTACGAAGCAAAGCTTGCGAGTTTCTCAGCTGGTAGAACAGCATAGAGTAAATGGATGTGTATCACTATTGTTCTGTTCACCAGATTGCCTAACTGGCGACCATACTTTCCGAGTTGCTTAGTTGATGGGAGGTCACATGACAAATGAATATTTCTCAGTATTGTTTTGTTCATCTGATTTGTACACTTTGAAGCAAACCTTGCGAGTTGCTCAGCTAATCGAAGAGCACATAGTATATGAGTGGTTCTTATGATTGTGCTGTTCACCAAATTCGGTCACTTCGATGTAGAGCTTGCGAATGGCTCGCCTGATCACAGATAACATAGCAAATGAATATTTCTCATAATTGCTCGGTCCACCTAATTCGCTAACTACGAAGCATAGCTTGCGAGTTCCGCAGCTGTTCGAAGGGTACATACCCAATGAATGTTTCTCATCATTGTTCTGTTCACCTTATTTGCTCACTTCGATGCAAAGCTTACGAGCTGCTTAATTGTTCCAACATCACATGGCAAATGAATGTTTCTCAGGATTGTTTCGTTCAACTTATTTGCTCACTTAGAGGCAAAGGTTGCGACTTGCTTAGCAGTTCGAAGATCACATGGGAAATGAATGTTTCTCACGATTGTTGCGTTTACGTAATTTGCTCAGTTCGAGGCAAACTTTGCCAGCTGCTCAGCTCACCGAAAAGAAATGGCAAATGAATGCTTTTGAAAATTATTTTGTTCACCTTATTTGCTTACTTCGAAGCACAGCTTGTGAGTTGCTCAGCTAATCGTAGACCACACGGCAAATTAATGCTTTTGACCATTTTTCTGTTCACCTTATTTGCTCACTCGGAAGCCAAGCTCCAAAGTTGCTCAACTAATCGAACAGCACATAGCATATGAGTGTTTCTTAGTATTGTTCTGTTTACCTAACTCTCCCACTTAGAAGCAAAGCCCCAAGTTGCTCAACTGATCGAAGAACACATAGCATATTAGTGTTTCTTATCATTGTAGTGTTCACCGTATTTCCACACTTTCATATAAACCTTGGGAGTTGTTCCGCTAATCGAAGATCACGTAGCAAATGAATATTTCTCATAATTGCTCGATCCGCCTAATTCACTCGCGGTGCAAGAAAGCTGCTAAGTTGCTCAGCTGATCAAATATAGCACAATAAGTAAATATTTCTCACCATTGTTCTGTTCACCTAATTTACTCACTTCAAAGCAAAGGTTGCGGGGTTCGAAGCTGATCCAATATAAAATGGCAAATGACTGTTTCTAATAAGAGTTCTGTTTACCTGATTCGTTAACTACGAAGCATAGCTTGCGAGTTGCGCAGCTATTGGAAGAATATATGCTAAATGAATGTTTTTGACTATTGTTCTGTTCACCTTATACGCTCACTTGGAAGCAGAGCTTGCAAGTTGCTCAGCTGATCGAAGAGCAAATAACAAATGAATCGTTCTCAGTATTGTTTTGTTTGTCTAATTTGCTCACTCCGAAGCAAAAGTTGCGAGTTGCTTACCTGTTCAAAGATCATATACCAAATGAATGTTTTTCAAAAGCTTTGTGTTCACCGAATTCGCTCACTTTGAAGCAAAACTTACAAGTTGCTAAGCTGATTGAAGAGCACATAACATATGAGTGTTTCTTACTATTGTTCTGTTCACCTTATTTGCTCACTTTGATACAAAGCTTGCGAGTTGCTTAGCTGTTTGAAGATCACATGCAAAATATATGTTTCTGAGTATTGTTGTGTTCACCTTATTCGCTCACTTCGAAGCAAAGCTGCCGTGTTTCACATCTGTTCGAAGAGCAGATAGCATATGAGTGTTTCTTAGTATTGTTCTGTTCACCTTACTTGCTCACTCTGATGCACAGCTTGCGAGTTACTTAGCTGTTCAAAGATCACATGGCAAAGGAATGTTTCTCACGATTGTTCTATTCATTTAGTTGGCTCACTACGATGCCAAGCTCGCGAGTTACTCTGCTGATCGAATAGCACAGAATAAATGGATGTGTCTTAATATTGTTGTGCTCACCTATTTTGCTCACTTCGTAGCAAAGCTTCCTAAAGTACTCAGTTGATTGAA